CTCTCTCTCTTTCTTTCTTTCTTTCTTTCTTTCTTTCTTTCTTTCTGTGTTGAGTAACAGACAGGGAGTTCCAGGCCTCTCTGAGTTGTCAGCTTTGGTCTAGATGGGGAGATGGGAAGGGCCGCTGGGGGTCCCTTGAGAGTGATACCAGCAGAGGGAACAGATGGGTCTCCCAGGGAGAAGGCTGCCTGAGGGGAAGGGCAGGGTGGAGGTGGGGTGGGATTTTCCTGGGCTTAAAGCCACCGACAATGGACAAAGCCGTGGGCGGAGGGGCTGGGTGGGTCAGCGCTGCTCTCCCTTTCCTAGGACCCAGGCTGGACCTCTTCGGGAGGAGAAAGGGGAGGACAGGGCCTTTCTGAGCCCCCAGCCGGGGCCACGCACCAGGTGTCAGTAATTAATTTGTCATTGCTGTAAGAAGTTACCTGACTCAGTGAGCAAAGCTACTGACAAGCTGGGTCCCCCCCCCCCCCCGGCCTCCTCATGGTGGAAAAAGAGAATGCTCTATTCTAAGTTGTCCTCTGAGCTCTGCCTGTGTGCACAAAGAAGTAAAATAAGCGCAATTAAATTAAGATCATAGCCAGGCATGGTGGTGGCGCACCTGTTAGCCCCAGCACTGCGGGAGGCAGAGGCAGGCGGCTCTCTGTGAGTTCAAGGCCAGCCTGGTCTACAGAGAGAAACCCTGTCTTGAGAAATAAAACAAAAAGATAAGATCATGTTGGGGCCAGGTGGCAGTGCCCACCTTTAACTTCAGCACTTAGCTGAGGCAGGGGGCTCTCCATGAGTTTAAGGCCAGCCTGGTCTACAGAGTACCGCTTTAGGCCGCGCCAAACTACATAGCAAGACTTTGTCCCAACCCCCCCCCCCCCCGCCCACCGCTACCACCAACAGAAATTAAGATCACGAATGAATGAGGCATGAGATAGAAGGACAGGGGGCTGGAGAGACGCTGGCTCAGCAGTGAAAGAGCACTGGCTGTTCTTGCGGAGGACCCAGCATCGAGTCCCAGCACCCACAGAGTGGCTAAAGTTCCGGGGGTCTTCGGAGGGCACTACACACGAGGGCTGCCCACAGGTGCAAAACACTCAAGCACAGAAAATAAAATCGAATAAAGAAAAATAGAATCAAAGGATTCCAAAAGATTGGAATAGAATCCAAAAGATTGGGGTTCCTATAAGAAGAGTCATTTGGGCTGGCCAAATGTCGTGACACCTACCTATAATTCTAGCACCTGAGGTGGGGAGGTGGAGGCAGGAGGATGGGGAGCTCAAGGGTACCTTGGCTACATAGTGAGGCCACACTGGGTCACATGACACTCTGCCAAACCCTTCCCCCATAACAACAACAAATATGCGGAAAGGAAAACCTCCTCTAAATCACGAAGGGCGCATTGGAGCATGGGCAGGCCTTCGAGATCACGTTGTGTATTTGGGAACAGAGGGCAGGAAGCACTGTAGAAGAGACTCAGACCCAGGGAGGAAGGGCCCGGCAGACTCGGCACCACGTGGACAGGACAGCTGGGGCCCGCTGGGCAGCTCTGGGGAAGCAGCACACACCAGAGCCATCTGCCTCGGAGCTGGGCCACAGCGGCCTGCAGTGTGGACCCTGGCACACCCAGCTTTGGCAAGCACTTGCCTGTGGACAGAATAGATAAGGATAGGGCCAGTGCCTGAGGTCAGCTCACTGCGCTTGAAGGTGTGAGCTCAAAAATATGAGGAGGCACCGTGATGTCTGCTACATAGATTACTGTGCCAGTTGGTCTCAGGGGAGTATTAAATATATATATTTAAATATTTGTTGATTTATTTTACATACATGAGTGCTCTGTCTTCATGCATACCAGCGGAGGGAATCAGATCCCATTACAGATGCTTGTGAGCCACCATGTGGGTGCTGGGAATTGAACTCAGAACTTCTGCAAGAGCAGCCAGTGCTCTTAACCGCTGAGCCATGTCTCCAGCCCCAATATATATAGAATTTTCTGAGACGGAGACTCTCTATGTAGTCCTGGCTGTCCTGCAACTTGCTATGTAAATCAGGCTGGCTTCAAATTCACAGGGATCCTCCTGCCTCTGCCTCCTGAGTACACACACGCACTCACGCACACACCCACACCACTATGAGCATGGGGAGGTCAAAGGACAAGGAGTCCGTCTTTCCTGCCACCGTGTGGGTTTCCCGGGATCCAACTTAGGTTCTCAAGCTTGGTGGCAGGCG